TGTTTCACTTTCGTTCAAGCAACACTGGGCGGAGATTAAATTTTTGACACAAATAAATCATTATGTTAAATTGTTAAATTATTTCGTATTTTACATTCCCTCTGAATAAAGATTGATGATACAGTAAAATTAAACTAAAAATTCCGAAATCGAGTAATTTTCAACTCTAAATCGTTACGATGTCCAGTGATACTATCAGCCAAGAATTAAAATTCATTAGTACGAAACTTTCGCTTGTCAATCGGGATTAAATCGCGATAACGCGAGTGTGCATGGAAAAAAAGGAAGTGCCTCGTCAACTTCTAATTCTTCAAGCGCGACGAATCGAGCCACGAATCGTTCGAATCGCAACCAACGTGCTCGAAATTCGACCGCGAGAGAACCGCTCGCGGTGCAGAGAAATATCGTTTATCGGCGCTGGTAATGGGTTCAGTAACAGGTTGAATCGCGTTGAGCATGATAAAGAGGCGTTTGCTTTCGCGAGTCGTGCTCGTTTAAACGCGGGGCGGATGATAAAGCGGAATCCGATTAAGCTTAATGGAGAGGAATTTAATCAAAAGACAGCGAACACGAAGAGGCGGGGATGGAGCGAAGGGAAGGAGCCAGCACGGACATTCAGGATGAAGAATGAAAGTTTGCCAGGCAATTAGAGGCAATTTCCGGTCGGCGGGGGCTCGAGTGATCCGCGCGGTGGAAACATCGGCGATTCTTGGTCGTTTTTCTCTCCGACGCCGTTCGCGAAGCGAACGATGATAAAGGGAGACCGTCTCTCGCGACTCGCAATTCCGTTGGCTGCGAGTGATACATTGAAAGAAAGCAGCGAGCTCGATCGTTAGCCTAATGTTAACATCCGTAAGGTGCAACCGCGTGTAGCGCGAGACCCTTGTAAGCACGTCTACTTCGTATCAAGTGTTTAATTACAATATAAAGCGAGGGATTTACTTTCGGCCGAGCAAGGCTGGTTTTAATCAAGAGATGGGAGATCAAGTCTAATGTAGCCGCTTGTAACTTTGGAATACCACGTACATACTCGAAAGTAAAAATGTCTCAGCGAGCATTTATTTCATGTTGATTTGAAAATTTCTAGATTTTTGAAAATCTATTTATACTCGTAGGTACGTACATCGTACTCACATGGGAAATCGCATTTTGGAAATCAAAATTGTTAGTATCTGTTATAATCAGTTACGCGAATGCAATACTTGAAAATAGCGTAGAGAAAAATAGGAACATTCGTTCACCTATTTAATATTCGGGGATTTTCTGTATTTGAAAGATACATTGTCAATCATTTTTTTCGTTAATTAATTATCAGACTAAATAATGCATATTTAAAGTGCAAAATAACAGTAAACGAAAGCTGTCCATTATTATTATTAAAATGAGCTTGTGTGTTAGACACTACACGTGCGTGCAACGTTTGAAAAAAATCGCCTATAGAAAAGCAGAAACATGCTTTCGAAAGTTTTCGATGCGCGTGCGAAAAATCTCGCTTTAAAAGTTTCGAGTCTGCCGGTGAGGTACTCAATTCCGTTTTCAGTTTTTAAGAGCCGCTCGAACGGAAGATGTACTCGTGTTTCGCGCTAATTTACAATCTTGCTCGCTCGGTATCGCCTCGGCGAGAGGAGGAAGGCGAAACGCGAATAGATTACGAGAGAAGCTGAAAGAAATGGCGGAGAAAACGAGGGAAAGAAGGGGACTCGTTGGCGATCGGAAACGAGATAGAAAACAAAACCGAGAGAGAGACAGGCCGGTATAATTATGCAATTTAGATTCAGCTTTACGATTCCGGTTTGGCTTTATTAAAAGCGAGAGTGGGCGTATGCTCCTCGCCCGTTCCTCTCATCGAGAGTAGAGTAGAAAAAAAACTTGGCCACGGAGATAATGCGTTTCTTGTTTAAACGAAACGTCCGAGGTACCGAGCGTTGCTCTTACGCTTGTGACGAGTTGATGAGAGTCGTCTTGGATATAAAAGCGATTTGTAACGCTCGCCATGAATGCGTATCGCTGACCATTTCTTTTTCCCTTCTTTTTTTTTGCTTTAATTGCGTTTTCATCCGCCGGTCGATTAACCGATTCACTCCCGCAAATAGAATCGAAGATCTTTTTCTCTTCTCGAGCGTCCTGCTATCGAAGAAGCTCGATCTTATCGCGAGGCCGGGTTATTATCGTTGTTTAAATGCATCGTAATTCCCGTGCCAAGTGGTTTACGCACCGAAAAGGAACAATACGACGAGTTTCTGTACTCGATAATCGCGAAGAATGCGGTTTTATGTATATATCATGTGTAAGTATAATTTCATAAATATTAGGACACTTACAGAAATTTAAATTGATCTGAGAAAGCGTTAGAACGTTGTCAAATGCTCCAAGAATCATTATCTATAAATGTCAAACACAAAGAATGTACATATACATCGCACTTGAGTACATGTAACGATAATTTCGATAATTTGATATAACAAAATGGATTATTTTTTCTGTCTGTATTTTAAAGTAATTATCACTTTTTGTACGAAACTGTCAGCTCGAAAACAAAAGACGAAAGTCAAATGAAATTAAAACAGATCGCCTAAACTTGCCTAAATACGTCGACTTAATCTTTCGTGATATCATTATCGCACGTCAGCGTATTATTATGTATTAATATAAATGCAACACGTATTTTAGTTGACGGATCACTGAAGTCGACCAGCAAAAACCGGAGTATTGCGCAAAAACCAGGACCAGTCAACAACATTATTGATAACTTTGAACAGGAATAGTAATGTCGGCAGCCTTTCTCCGATATTCCAGCGTGAATTCACTTGACGAATTAAATAATCACAGTTATGTCTGTACATTTGACAGCCAAGTGAGCACGTGAGCGCAAAAATTTATACTGAATGTTTTCGTTGAGCTTATTGTCGATATTAACATAGTCCGGCATTTTAAATTACGAAGTAAAGATCACACTTTTACGGAAATTTCATTTGTGGAAAACAATGCACAAAATAATTTTCAGATAACAAGAAAAGAAATATATTATATATTTTCGTTTTATGTCATAAAGTTTAATGAACGCTGAATTTTTAAGTCATGACGCGGCGAAGAAATTGTTAAGTATCCTTTGGAGTAAAAGGATTTCGAAACAGAGAAGCATATCTTATCTCGAAGTGGAATGTTCGACTCTGGCAGAACGAACGCACCGAATTCCTGAATGGGGCGTACACTGGAAAAAGGAATTTTTCGATTATGATTAACGGTATAGTGCGTGGAGTTTACCGACTGCCGGATTCTTTCGAATCATACCGATCGTATCGATCGATGCTGGCTGAAACGCCTCCGTAAAGGAACATCTGGACTCCGCCTCGAACCGTCGTCGATTAATTCGTGTCGTGGAGAAAGAATTAGAAATGGGAATCTCTCAAGTAGGTTAGAATCTAGCCGTTGGATTCCAACTGTTTTTCGAATGGTGTAGTAGAACTCGGTTTATACAAACTTCATTTATTTAAACCAAATCATTTCCAAGTCAATCTTTTCTAGTCAATGTCCAATTAAACTGGTCGAATTCACTTATTTGAATCTGAACCCCGTATTACACGAACGAAAGATCATTAATAAAGGAGAAGATCAGTTAATTCCTATTATATGAAACATTCAAATTATTTGTCTCTTGACAAATTCATATGAATGGAGTTCTATTATACTTTCGAATATACGTGAACCTAAGCGAGATAGCTTTGAACGCTTCACGAGTACTTTTAAAAAATGAGAACGATACTTTCGAGTAAACTTCAATAACCATTTTCATTTTTACAATCGGTGATTCGACTCTCATTTGTCACTTTTGCAATTTCCCTTATTATTAATATTTGTACATTGATATTTAAATATTAATGCAATTTAATCTGACAATTAATTGATTAAATCGAATTGGAACGATTTTAGATAAAATGAGGAAGACAGAAGAAAAAAAAAAACAAAACTGTAGATACTTCACTTTAGAGTTCGAAACCATTGAACAGAACGAATACACTGCGAATGTTACGTTAATTGAATGTAACATTCATTGTTAGACCGTGAAACGAGTCTTAGGTGTCAAACTCAACTCGGATTTATAAGCCCGTACTGGATTCGATTGAATTCTTAAAAAAAAATCTCGCTGCTCTACTAGTTGCCCTCCTCCTCGAAACCAATCTGAGAACGACGATTAGAAAAAGATCGGCTGTGTCGGGTGTAAGCTCGGCCCGTTGTAAACCGAGATTAAATTGCATTGACCGACCCGTTACTGTGCCAGCGATAATTGCCACGGCGGGATAAGGTTACCGGCGAGGTCGCGGGTTAAGCACAGTGGGCAACTACGAACTCGCGCAACACATTACAATTTTCGTTTGCCAGGAGGGCCCCGACGAGATTCGATGCCCCGACTAGTTGCTATCGTCCGGCTCGATTAAACTTCGATTAAACTTGTTGGCTTTGTTGGAATTCGTTTCGAAGGTGCGGATCAGGAGCGAGAACGTACCGGGTAGACGGAATATAGTTGCGTTGCACTTTGCCGAGCCACGTGGTTATTATCCACGGCCAGGGACGCCCTGCCTGGATGATTCGTTGGATTATTGGATATGTGAATCAGTACAACTCAATTTCATCGATCACGCAGTTTTTCAACGCTGGGAATTCCAGTGTTAACGCGTTTAGAAAGGTTTTGGAGGGTGAAAGAATTCGGCAAGCTTGTCTAATTTCGCGTTCTAACCATGTTCGAATGTTTCGTGCGTGTTTTTCTTGAAGATGTAGAAATGAAGCAGAGCTTAAATTAACCATCGACTAATTTTTAGTTGGTTTTTATTTCTTTTTATTATTTTACAGCAAATAAAATGTCTATAATATTATATATTTTCGTCCACAAAAATTATAAGTAAGCAATATGAAACAAATCGTGCCACCGAAAGGAAGGATTCTTTTCACAAATGTTTATCTCTGTTATATTTTTATCAACGATCTCTCCTGACTGATTGCAGCTACCTGGTGCATCTCCCGGAGCTATTTCGTCCGTGGTTGCTCCCGTGCTATTGAAGTATCGGGTCTGCAGACCCAGACTGCTGCTCGCTGGCTCCAGAGCCGAGATCGATCCTGCCGCCGATGTTGCTCTTTTGCACGGGGAAGTTTTGCTGATCGAGGACTTTGCGAGACAGTACGATCCGATAGGAGGTGAGTTTCGATCGATTCACTTTCGAGCTTTCTTAATTTTCTTTAGTATGTCACGTTAACGAAATAAAGAGAATTTGAGAATTCTTGTAAAACACTGATTGCTCGTCATCTATTCTCCAAGACTCAAGACTAATTCAAACTAATTTCAAGATTCAAATCTTTTAAGCTGATATTTGCAACAATTCTTATGAAAAGAAATTAGTCACTGAAGCTTGCTTCGTATTTAAGTTGAGAATATTAAAGACAATATTCAAAGACAATTCTACCGAAACAATTCTACTTTACAACATTTTAATCAAACATTGTAGATAATTTTTTGATGCAAAACTCGTGGAAGTTGACGAAGAAAGAAATCCAAGATAAATTTCCTTCTTAATTCTCACAATGTAAGAGATATTTCCATTATTTTGGCCAATCCCAGGTCGAAAAGATGGAGATTTTTTTGTGCCATTTTGTAAAATTTTGTTACAATTTTCTACAAATACCGTTCTTTCCTTGATGTTACAGATACAGACAGAAGATACAGAGCTACGGAGAAGCTTCTGCATGCTGAGGAGGAGTACCTCGAAGCTCTGTGCAGCGCAAAAGAGTTGTACGCACGGCCGCTGGCGCGAAACTACCCCGAATTTCATGATGTTATCTTCCAACCGCTCGCAGATCTTTCGGTGGTCACTTCCGAACATTGCCAGAGGGTGAGTTTCTTAGCCAAAGATTTTCATAATTGATATAATTAATAATTACACTACAAATTTTTATGTATGTCTGATAAATTTGAAGATGCAAAAGTGCACACAAATACAATATAAAGAAGTGTTTATTATAATATTTGATGGATGAAACAAATTTCTACCTAGGCTCCATTTCTTTACTTATGTTTATAAAACTCTGCAGTCTATTAATTTGTTAAAAACAAATTGACCAAGTTCAATTTTTATAAATTATAAATTTAAGCACTAGAGACGGATTACCAAATCCGTCAGTATGATAGATTTCAGATTTTCCCTTTTTATAATTACTGGAAATACACCGGTATTTTGTCAAAATTAATATTCACTTTTATTTAAACAGAGACACGATTGTATAGATCTGTTTATTTTAATTACTATCATTAAATTATAATGATGTCTTTAAATTATAATGATTTATATACAGAATATTTCGATGCCTATTAGAAATCAATAGTGTATATTATAATACAGATAGATATTTACAAGAATATTAATTTTACAATAACTATCTATAGATCCTGAGATATCTATAATTAGATAATTTCTCAAAATGGTACGACATCATATAAAAAAAAAAATTACATAAACTACGAAATGTCAGATTTATAAATAAAGAAATTATTATATTCAGAAGATTAAGTTACAACTCGTTCTGCCTCGGTAACAGATTAATTTCAAAAATGTTCAATCGATGACCCTCGATCAGAGTTGGGCATTCTTCGAATAAAATTTTATTCGAATAACATTTCGAATAAATTCTTCGAATAAAATTTTATTCGAAATCGTTATTCGTAAAATTTTTCCTCGAATAAAATCGTTATTCGTAAATGACGAATAATTCTTTCTCGAATAAAATCGTTATTCGTTATTTACGAATAAATTTGACAGTATTTTATTCGTTATTCGTTATTCGTTATTCGTTCGAATAAAATATGCTCAACTCTGCCCTCGATGAACTATTGAAGAACAAGGTTCGCCAGTTTTCTACATGGTAGAGTTCTTCTTATCGACTGTTTTGTGACTTATGGCAAGACCGACTAGGGATCATGGTTGAGAGATGGCGGCACTCGAATCGAGCAACGTTGTTCAAGTTTGCGCGGCACCTGTTACTTCGAGTACGTTATGCCTTTCTCTTAGCGTGTCGCAATTATGCTTGACTCTTCAACCCGTGTAACCTTTTACGAAAGAGAATTCCAGATGATCGCGGACGATCTTTCAAACTAAACGCGTATCTCTTCCTTGAATCACTCTTTGTTTCAAAGGAAAATTTCCCTCGAAGATTTAGGCTCAATATTATCTTTGAATTTTTTATATTTCACTCCCGAATTTGTTTTAAACAAGAAAAGTCGTGTAGAACGTTGATATATAATAAACAGCTGTTGATGTTGTATCATAAACTTTTCCCTATTTCTCATTTTGATAAATGTTTTATACATTTATGAGCCTCCCTTTTCCAATATTTCTTATTCGAATATCTAATATTTCTACATTATCCGAATAAAGTACCAGTGTTTTAAGTATTTAAAGTATTTACAAGTTTTTACATTTATTATTATATGTTTTGTCGCATATACAATTGCAAAAAGGATTTATTAAACTATAATGTAAAAAATTTTACTAGAAAGGCAATATTGGTGGACATATACACAGTATAATTATCTGTTAAATGACGAAGATGTTAATATAATTTTCCCACAAATAATAACGAAAAGCACCGGAAAAAGGATTTACTTGTAACAAAAAAAAAAAAAAAAAAAGAATTTTACAATTCACCAATAAAGAATTATACAATATCGATTTTTAAACATCGAAACAAATTGACAGTTCCCTCGAGCTTCACTTTGATACATCTGCCATTTGTGAATGTCAGAAAACTCCGTTGCTCTATTGTTATCTGAAAATTTCACCAGCCGGACACTTTTGTCTCGCTGTTGGTTCGAATACGAGGGACTTACTTCAGCACCTGTCTACTTTGGTACTCCTAGTGTTAACCTTAGGTTTTGCTGTCTACGATAGCACACGCTTCGATCGCGCGCTCGATATTGAAAATCCCGACGTCCCCTTAAAAACTCCACCTCTCAACACCTCTCGTTAGAATTCAATATCCAGTTAGTTAGCTTCTCTGAGGTTCACGAGTTTCTTCTACAACAATGTAAACACCTACCGCGAGAAGGCCAGGAGGCAGTCACTCGCAGCTTATTCCGGCGCGCACCGAGCAGATCCCTGTTGGAGGATCTTGGTTGGAGGAGAGCGTGCAGAGATGATGGTTAGCTAGGCGGGCAAGGTGTTTTCACTAAAAACACCATGGAAAATATGGTGGCCAGGCGGAGCTGGGTACTGATAAGGCGATCATATCCTCGGGGCTCGCTGCGGACGCTGGCTACTCTGGATGCAACGGCGGACATGGTGTTTTCTTAGGGCTGACAATAAAGAGAGGATGGCTGTCCTTCGGATGTAAACACAAAGCCACGCCGGCGGAGCTGGTTAACGAGTCGGGATGAGCGATGACGGTGGTTAGCATCCTCATAAATATTGACTTTTACAAGACGCGAGCCAGTGGTGCGCGCGGTGAGCGCTGCTCGCGAGGATGCAACAGCGTCGTAAAGTGAAAAAGCCTCTCTTCACGCCGCGCCGGCGAAAGATCGTTCCGCGGGATTCGAGCGAAACCGACTCGAGCGGAGAGGAAACGCCTACCTTCTTTATTCCGCGCACTGAGACAGCGCTGTGTGATGGTCATCGATAACGAACTGGCCGCGCAAAAACCATGCAAATGCAAGCACGCTCGATTCCCGGTGGATCTCGCGCCGAGACCGATCTTTTCTTTTTTTTTTTTTTTTTCGAGCGAAATGATTATTACGATCGACGCCCGGATTAATTATGGTATATCGGCCGTTGTTGCAAGTTTCTTTGGTAGGTCGTTGCGAAAGATATTTTCGTTTCCAACATGGCTAGCGCAACATGGTTGTGCATTGGGTGTTTCAGGATGAATCTCGATTCTCGATGTGAATAAATTTCGCAGTGCGGCTCGTTATTCTGGGTCAAGAATACTCTTGGAGGAAGTTTTCTTAATGACAGGCGGTTTCCTTAGGAATTTGTGATATCCAAGGGCAGATTAACGTTAAACTTTGATTATATGGTTTTAAAGATGTATCGAATGGCATCATTTATGCAACCACGTGTTGCATAAATGATGTAAGACAGCTTCAAAATAGTAGTAGAACTCGTGGACGAATAGTTTATATAATAGTAATGTCCTTTATTAGTAATTTCTCTTTCATATTATAGGAGTTATATTATAGGAGAGGAATTCATTTAATCAGGTGTTAACGAAAATTTAGTTCAAACAAATGCTTGAATTCGTGCTTGCAAAAAAGATCGCTAATAGAAAAGAGGTTTCTATTGTACAAATTGTTTGTCTTACGGCAAGTTCGAATAAAAAAAATTGTATTATATTACAAAGTTTCGTCCACACCAGTCCAATATTTGAAGGTTTCAACAATCATTTACTGGCCATTCATACTAACTCTTAAACAATTTTTCCAAGCCTACTGGTTGTTCGCAGTTAACCCTCAAACGCAATAATATTCTCTCAAGTCATAAATTTAGAATCAATGATATAAAACAAATTTTCAACGGTGCGTTAAACGGGTTAACCTGACTTTTCACAAGTGTTTTAATGTTTATGTAAACGGGGGGTGTATGTACGAAACTGATGGAGGATCGCACAAGGATGACGCAAAATCTCTGAGGGGACCGAAGGTTAATTAGTGAAAACTGCTTCGTATGGCAGGTAGTTTCTGAAGAGCACGAACCCTGCAGTTCTGTTCCCTGTGCCCTTTTTATCTCGGGGCCCGTTGTCGCCGGTCGGTTGTTCGCGCGATCTCCACTGCCACGGAGCAATTTCACTTTGGAAGCACCTTGGGACCAGGAGCGCGGGCAATTAGAAGCAATCGCGCAGCTGGAAGGCGAGGGAAACTCGTTTCATCTTTCTTCCTCTTCCTCGTTGGCGCTTCGCTCTTCTTCCTCTATTTTTCTCTCTTCAGAGAGGACACGAACAATCCCGGCGAACAAGGAGCGACGTATTCTCGTACGTTTATTTGCTGGGAGGATTCTTCGAGCTCTGACGTCCCGTGGCTAGTGACTGAGCGTTGCTCAGTCTCAGCTTTGGCGTTTCGCCAGACCACGGAGAGATTTCTATCGTCTCGAATTTTTCGTCACCTGACTTTCTAATTTTGACATTTCGATATTTCATACGGGGTTGCCAGTATATTCTACTGTATCTTACGAACAAAAATGTCATAGACTCGAGAATAATTTATTAGAAAATTACAACGAAAACGAATTGGTTTTGCGAATATTATTAACTTAAAAATCCAACAATGGATAGTATGCACAAAACGTAAATGTGTAAAGTATCCAAAGTACAGTACCTAACCATCAAGTTTATAATATCGAATGAATGAAAATTTCTTGAAAATTTTCGTTGTTTAAGTCTAACATTCAAAGTTCAATAAAATTGCAAAAAAAAAAAAAATCATACATCAAGTTTCCGAGGAATGTAAAAAGAATGTTTCAACCTTCAAATCCATTGTAGATTCAGTCGTGAAAAAGATTTTTCAACGTCAATACCACGACAATTTATAATACTTTTGAAAAGAGAAGTATCCTTTCCCATCCGCTAAGTGGATGTAAAGACATTTCAGACTAAAACGAACGTTTTGAAAGTAGAGACTTCGAGCTAAAATAAATTTAGGTCGATTGTTGTGCGATTGTTTTTTTCTTGTTACAAAATTAAAATAGAATTTAAGTATCTAGCGCCTGAATATTAATGGTGGACACTGTGTATAGATAGGTTCGAAATTTACCTGTGATCCTCTTCCTTCTCTAAGAAACCACGAAGGATTCCTCGAAAGTATCGTTAACGTCCCTTGCTCGTCCCCTTGTCCTCATCGTTTCATCATCAT